TAGTTTTGACTTTAATCTGGGATTCTAAAACTACAAAAAAATAAATTAAAAGTTTGTTTGTACATAGATGATTGTGGAGTACTGTCTTTATACTCTTAGCTCAGAAACTGATGTTAAAGTGTCCAAATTGAAGAAATTATGAAAGTATTGTCATATTAAGATAAAAAATTACAAAACTACTGAACATCAAACATTTAAAAAGTATTTAAGTATTTAGGCTGAATCATTATTACGATGACAGTGTACGTGTGTCTGTCTCACAGGAAAGCGTCCCTTTGGAGTCTCGCTGCTCTACATGGGCTGGGATAAACACTATGGTTTCCAGCTGTACCAGAGTGACCCCAGTGGAAACTATGGAGGCTGGAAGGCCACGTGCATCGGAAACAACAGTGCTGTAAGTCTCACGGGAGTGCTTCAAGGCTCTCGTCTGAGAATGGAATCATGTAAAATAGGTTGAATTATAAAGGAAACTAATACGTGTGGAATCTGCATTTTTGGATTTGATGCGCCGATGTATTCAGACAAACTGTTATTCCACGCAGTGACACTTGAGGGCGCAGCTGCACAGCGTTTTTAAACGGACTGAACGCTCACAATAAACAGAGGCCATTCTGTGGCCTACTTAGTGCTGACTCTTGAGGCAGCTAATGGTGTAAGTCCTGATTCCTGGTGGCTTTACTAATCTCAGTGGGGCTCCACAGGGCTCCACACAGGGCATTGTGGGTAACAGATCCGCCTATGTGAACACCTTTTGTCCAAGATGCCTTACGATAAGCCTGAGTTCATGAACTTTTAGTTTGGGTGTCTCCAGTGAGGAAACACACACCCGGTCCTGACAGTGTTAGTGTTGTGCTCCACACAGTGAGCCGCACAGGAGCAGATATCAGATTTGGCAGAAATAGCCTGAGACCAGAAGATAAACTGAGCTATAAATGCAGCGTTCATGAAAGAAAACAGTAATAGTAAATTCTGCAGCACAAACAAGAAGGATGGTGTTTTGGGACTGTGGCAAATGAAATGATTTGTACTTTATCTCTGTTTTTGTTTTCTTTGCTCACTTCTAGGCAGCGGTTTCTATGCTGAAGCAGGACTTCAAAGAGGGAGAGATGACACTTTCCACGGCCCTCGCTCTTGCCGTTAAAGTGCTCAATAAAACCATGGACGTCAGCAAGCTGTCCGCAGAGAAAGGTGCGGATTTGAGCAGTTATGTAGAGAGCAAATGAATGTCATCCTAATGTTTAGATCACACTGGTCGACAAGTGATTCTGCTCCTTTATTTTCCATCCACACTTTATCTTTGTCTTTATAACAACCTCCTGTATCATGGATAAGCAGCGTGTTGCTTTCTTCTGCAGCATTAACAGCACATAGCATTGCCTGAAAATAAAGGCCGCCTATTCATTTGTTTACCTTGTCTGCATGTGTACATAATGCGTCCACACAACTCTGTGAGATATAATCCAGATCAACCTGTTTTGTGGCTGATCAGGTGATAACTTCACAGTAACCTTGTTGCAACATGTTCCAAACACTGACACTGCATCCAGCTGAAATATACATTATCTAGACATTTAGATATAGATAGAAACCACAAGTATGTGTATATAATAACATAATACGTTATCTTCCAGCAGCTGGTTCCTGACTGTCTGTCTCTGTCGTTTCAGTGGAGATCGCCACTCTGACCCGCGAGAACGGCAAGACGTGCATCAAAGTGCTGAAGCAGAAGGAAGTCGAGGAGCTGATCAAGAAGCACGAGGCAGAAGAGGCCAAAGCCGAGAAAGACAAGAAAGAGAAGGAACAGAAAGAGAAGGACAAGTAGTGCCGCTCCCCACACTTTTCTTGTTTTCTTCTTCTTTTGTGTGTGAGAACGATTGTGAGTGTGGATGTAAAAAGTCTTCAGGTATGTTTGCAATTGTGTTGTTTCCTAAAATAAATCCAGATGACGAATTATCGACTACTGATTTTATTTCCTATTTAGTCTGTTTCATGTTTAATGATGCAGTGTTCTGTCTTAACAAGTTCATAAGGCTCTTTATTTATGCTCAAAACAAGAATTTATTACTTTTTAGTAAAGTGCTTTCATAAAGTCACTCATAAAGTGAGTCCACTTCAGAGGTTTAAACATTGTTATTTATCCCCTACGATTTATGGGGATTTACAGTTGAAATCAATATGGGATTTGAGCTTAATGTGTGTGTGCTCAGTCTGTTCTAGGACAGAGCAGATGGTCTTAATGTATTCTGCATGAACTGTGTAATGCATACTTTAAACTGTTATGAAATAGGAGACCATGATTATACAATCGTATATGGATTTATTCACCTTTGTTTAAGTGGGGCTGTTTTCCAGTTCTTATTGTAAAACAGGAAGTGTCTCATCCTTCAGACCTCCTATCAAAAAACCTCCCTAGCCCTAAACAGCAGACAGACACAGTTAGCAACTAGCTGGTGAACCTAGTGGATCAGTCAGCAGCTACAGAGCCAGATATTTCCCCCTCAGGAGCTGGTGAAGACCAGAAGAGTAAATATTAAGTGCTCATACTCCCCAGGTGGACACAGACAGGACTCTAAATGATTGATAATGTCTCTCCATAACTGCTGGATGTGTAAATAAGCGACTGATGCTAAAAAGTTTAACATGTCAATTTATAATATGCTTTGTCAATGTTGTGTTCATAACTCATTTCTGCTGCCCCCAAGTGGCCAAAAGAAAAAAATTTATTGCAAGTTTAATGACAATATACAATGAGGTCCAATGTTCACTCTTGATCTTGGAAACAGCCATTAAATTGACCTTGTGGTTATTTTTTCAGCTGCTGTTTCTTTGGTCAAGAATAAACTTTAAAAAAAGAGAAAAATATGAACATCTCCATCAGCTGATAAAGAACGTGTGATATGATCGAAAGCTCCAGAACAGCTACAAACCTTGTGGTGAGATTATTTTGTCAGCAGTAGTTATGTCAGGACATTTCATGATATAATACAGAGCAGAAGCACAGAAAAGTAGGTTCTCATTCGGGCACATTACATTTGATGTGCTCTTCAGTGAGGTCTGCAGCAGCGCCAGTCTCTTTAGAGGGGATTAGCTATTGACTGGCTGCTTTTAACTCTGATTAACGGATGCTAGAAACTGAGATGTGAGGACGTATATAGGCGGTTTCTGAGAAATCCCATGCTGTGAGTGAAGCTGGTGCTGTAACCGCTTATCAGCCTCAATCTGAGGTGAGTTTATGTAAAGTCAACATAAGATTAAGGCCAGGAGGGGAATATCTGCCTCTTGTCTTTAGTCTGGGAGATTAGTGACACAGCTTGAATGCCTGACTTCAGTTTTTCCAGTGCAATGTTGTGCCATGTTGGCTGCTGGTGGGGGGGCAGGATAACTTATAGTAGGCCCCAAACAGAATATTTTTTGGAGCACCCCTAAAGGTCTAAATATCAACACACAACACACAGGGAATTTCCCAGATGTGTTGTGGTTAATTTGTCTTCTTTTGTTGGTGTGACAAATTGATACCTGCCACTTCTCAGAATTAGAGAAGTCCCTGTACTGCTGAATGGATTTTCTCCTTCAGGAGACAACAAAGGTTTTATAGCAGGTTGCTGCTGTATTAGAGACTCCAATATAGCCCAGCTGAGTCTGTCCTGGCCCAGGCACTGAAAATAGATCAAGATCAACTGACTTGGGAAGTTGCCACCTTTGGCGAGAAGCCCGCGGTGAGCTGTAATGTACAGGGAGCTGAGCTGGTTGGAGATTAGCGCCTGAGTCAGCGATCGGCTGAAACACAGCTTCCCACATCTACTGTTCCTGAAAACAGAAACCACTTTAATTTTCTGAAATTGGCCTCATCATCATCACTGCTCTACTTTCACATTTTATTGCCTTAATTTGGCTGCCATGGTGTCCTTGTTTAATTGGACTTATTTTAAATCCTCCAGTATGTTTCCTCAGTTTTATAAACTTGGCTTGCTTCCTGTGCTGTTCCCTCTACATGTTTACTAGTACAACACTTAACAAATAACAACAATAACAACATGTTTAGATAACAAGTTTTATTGTCCCCCCCCCCCCCCCCC